GCACTAGCTCCTATGATCCTCAGCTGATGCACCAGGTGTTTGCTAATTGCTGCTGGCTAGTCTGAAGGAGTTGACTGGTGGAGGAGCTGCATTTAGTAGGCGGAGCTAGGTCCTGCCAGGCATTTAGCACAGCTGAATGGTTGCCATGGAGATTAAAGGATTTCTCAAGCATGCATGAAAAAAATCTTGTTGCATTATAACTTAATGTAAAGCTAAAAAAAAAAAAAAAAAGTCAATTTTACCACTTTAAATCCGCTCACAAATATAAACGAACGGGCTTTGTGGTGAATCTTGTGTGTTGTAGCCGCACGTTGCCATGGCAACAGGTGTTTATGACACCCGAGCCGCCGTCTGCTGCATGTGGAATATCATCCAGGAATGCCGTGCGGAGGCACACCTGACAGCCAGTTGGGCGGCGGCTCCGGTTTATAGCGGCCCGCTCCGCTTCCGTCTCTGCATCCTTTAATTGCACAGGTGAGCAGCTTTCCGGAGATCCTGGAGGCAAAGACGGAGAGAGAGAGAGAGAGAGAGAGAACAACGGATCAGTGGTGGAAGACTAATGTTTCTTTGTTCTTCCGTTGTCTCCGCCCCTAAACAGGAACACATGAGTCAGAGTGTTACCTGATGTGGGTGTGAACGCGTGTTGCTTTAAGAGGCAGCAAGCTGTTGTTTAGTTAGCAGCAGAGGTGCTAAACCTGTTAGCTGGTCTGGGACAACGCTGCATTTCTCCTTTTACACTCTGAAGCTTAAATGTTGTTCCAAGCTGCAACAGAAAAATAAAAAATGTTTTTTAAATCTGTGATCATAAATACGACGCAGCTGCTTTCACTTTTTCTGATTATTATTCTGTAAAGGAGCTTTAATAAAACCTGAAGCGTCTGTTTCTGGGCGTCAAGATGGTAGTGAAACATATCAATAACTGTAATATTGGTTATCAGCCATAATACCAACGTTAATATCAGATATCAGTATCAGCCTAAAGTTGAATCACAATATGGATATTTAAAAATTTAAAAATTTTATTTTTTTTTATTTTAGATCTTTTTTCCAGAAATAAGAAAAAAAAATACATATTTATAGTGCAAATCAACATAACGCTTTGAAAAACTACAATTTACAGGAAATGTGTTGTAATTTTAACTGCCATTTTATTTTGAATTGTTGACAATTAAGATAAAGAAAAACATCAATATTCTGCAAAAAGATGACAGAAATATTTTCCACGCTGACAGTTTGGGCGTTTAAACATTAAAAAACTAACATTTGTCATTTTTAGATATTTATCAACATTTTGTGGGTGGTTGGGAAAATTAAAGCATTTTCATCAGTTTCACCAACATAAATAAATATTTTTTTCTGATTTCTTTTCTGCCATATTTGAACACAAAACAGTGACAAAAAATTAAAAAAAAATAGAAATCTGTTTTGTCCTATTTATTATCATTAGAAACCAAATTCACAGTCAGAATAAACATATTTGATCAAATGAAACACATTAGAGACACATAAAGGTTTAACAGATAAACAGTAAAATAAAATAAGACGTTTATTTAATAAATATTTGTAGAAAATTCTCCAGAGAGCCGACTCTTCCTGGATAGAGATAAGCTGTGGCGTCCCTCAGGGATTCATGTTGGGCCCATTTTAATTTACATGTTTTTAAATATTATATTTGATTGTTATAGAAAAACTAAATATAATTGAGTCCTGATGAATCCACACTGTAAAATCTATTCAGAGCCTCAGAAAAGCGACGAACAGCTGATGACTTTCATCAATCAGAGATGCTCGTTTTTTTTAATCCCGTTTTTAATCTGTTGAAATATTATTCAGACCCAAACCAGGAATTTATGTTTTATTTTTCTCCATCTTTTGATGTGAACTCAATTCTCTTTGCTTTGGTTTTAAAAATTTCTTTAAACCTTTTTTAGAGTAAAACTTTAGGAAACCTACTTTTAATCAGTTTTGAATTATTTTTGTTCATTTTTAAGTAAAATTATTCACATCTTCCTTACAGATTGTCTTGTTTTCTATTTTTATGCAGCACTATGGTCATTTTTGTTGATTTAATTTGATATAAACAAATTTATAAATAACTGAATAATGCTGTGTTATGCTGCCACACCCCAAGAAACATGAAAAACACTCCATCACTTAAACAATAAAGCACTTCAGTTGTACTTTTGATTGAGCGTAGAAGCATGAATACTGTCAGTTTTTTTTCATTTAAGAGGAAACATTTTATATTTTCTGTTTACAGCAGCTCAGATCTTCTACTTATGGACATTTTGGGGTTTATTTTAACAGGAAAAGAATAAAAAAGTCTTAATTTCCTCATTTTTTTGTCTCGCCTAGCATTCATTCAGATCAGAAATGTTTACTTTAAAGCGTCTATTTTAGGTTTAAAGTGAGATAAATACTCAGAAGGAAGAGAAAAAATTATCTCCTTGGGGCAACAAAGCAGTTACCTAAAATAGTTCATGTTTCCATTTGCACCGTCACCAGCCCTTACGGCCTGCTGTAGTGATGTCACCGGGTTTTATGGCCATCTCAGCCATAAATAGTCCTCACACAATAGAAATAAAACAAGATCAACCGACGCTTACTTATTAAAAAGGCACCTACAGACCTCTGACGCTGCTACAATGTCAGTTTGTTGTCTTATTTTACCTCTGGTTGTGTTTAAGGAAGTTTTGTTGTCACTTGGACATTTACAAACGCACTGTAAAAAACAGAAATGGATTTAAAAAAAACAGGAAGTTGGGTTAGTAATAAAAGTTGAGCCACAGTTGAGTTCTGGATCGATCCTTCGGCAGAGTCACAGTGACGCAAACACGCCTACTCTGGGAAAAATACAACCTGAAAGCATTACTGCTAGGAAAGCAGAAGGAAGAAACACCTCTAACCTGCAAAAAGTTGGAAACAAACACGTCAAATTCATCCCAAAAACTATGAGACTCAATGGGAATCATAATAGTGAAAAGTAAAATGTGCTGCAGAAGAGAAGCCTGCCAGTGTTTTATTGCCTCACTATAAGTCTGTCTGTGTTGCTGTAAAATAATAAAACTGTCTAGGTTTTTTCTGACCTGGTTTCTGTGGTTACACACCTTCAGCTTGATATTTCATTGGTTTTTAACCTGAAGGAAGCAGGTGTGTTTGCATGTGTGAACCTGGAATTTCTCTTCTTCGTTCTTCCTTATCAATCTACTGGTTTCACCGCCAACAAAATCAAACTGACCATTCATCACCTTTAAATAAAGGCACATTCCTCTGTTTTGCATGGATGTTCCTGCTGCTCCGAGCGGCTGATGGAAATGAACTGTTACCAAACCGAAACATCTCCGGCTTTAGCGGCGTATTCCTGCGCTCTGCTGCCCCCTGCTGGTCACCAGAGGAAGTGGCTTGTTTCTACAGTTTAACCTGGAAATAAAGGTGGATTTTTTTCCCCCTCATTTAAGATAAATAATGCTTCATACGAGTCGCAAATGCTAAGTAACGCTTGCAAAAAAATAACATTTGCTGTTATATTAATGAACCATCATTTTGTTTTGTATTGTTGCCCTTTAAAATAAGGAAGAGCATAGATGTTATGCAAAATAATCATGGAAATATTTTCTTTTTTGGCATTTAAACATTTAAAAATGTGAAAAATTATGTAGATTTTTAGATGTTTTCTTTCATAAAAAATAAAAATTATATATATATATATATATATATATATATATATATATATATATATATATATATATATATATATACATACAGAGAGAGAGAGAGAGAGTGCAAAGCTGCATAACAATTTGAAGATTATTTACAGTAACTTATAAGGAACCGCCATTTTATTTTGTAAATACTTTAAAATAAAGAAAAGCATCAATATTTTGCAAAAATATTTTGGAAATATTTACTATTTTGACAATTTAGTCATTTAAAAATAAAATGTTTTATTTTTAAATGTTTTCTTTCCAGAATGAAGGAGAATTCAACATATTGACAGTTAAAAAGCTACATACACTCTGAAAAAAGACGATTTATAATTACTATACGAAATTTGTTTTCATTTATGAAGAAGTGCCATTTTATTTTGTACTTTTTGCCTTTAAAATAAAGAAAAACATCCAAATTCTGCCAGAAGATGATGAAAATATTTCCTATTTTGACAATTTGTGCATTTAAAGCTTAAAAACTAAAATGTGTTTTTATATTTTGATGTTTTCTTTCTGAAAAGAGAAAATGTATATATATATATATATATATATATATATATATATATATTGTGCAAAGCTACATAATGCTTTGGAAAAAACTGATTTATAATCTGCTACATAAAATTTGTTGTAATTTTTAAAGAAACACAATTTATTTTGTATTGTTTGCCATTAAAATAAAGAAAAAGATCTCTTTTTTGGCCAAAAAATTGCAATTCTTCTGCATGGTGTGTCGATATTGAAAAAAATTCTAAGTTTACAACCTAATGATTAAAACATATGCTCTAAAAATGTTGCTTTCCATTTTCGTGTCATTCTGTTGTGGAAATCGACTGCAATTATTCTATAGAAAAATGGTAAAATTGGCATTTGTTATGATATGTACACTTAAAACATGCCAAAATGTGGTTCTCTTGTGTGGTTCTATTATTTTTAGCCAGTTATTAGAGTCATTGTCGAATATCCAAAGTCAAACATGTTAATTTCTTGATTATCACAAAGTAAATATATTTTTCACTGCTGGAAAATGTTTTTAAAAATCCCCTCGCCTATGAAAGAAAGAAATTAAGGACTATTATGTTCGGAATATATAAATATTTAATTTAATTTCGTTTCATTTCATGTAAATATATTTCCAGCCCTTTCCCAAAGTGCAACCAAGATCGAGTAATGTAAAACAGCGGCCTCATGTGGTGAAAAGTGATATTGTCAATTCTGGAATTCGTGGATTGCGTCACGGTACAGTCTCAGTTCTGATTGGCTGCCTCGCCGGATCACATGACCACCTGCCCAGTTCGCTGTTGTTAGTTCTGTATGAAGCTAGCAGTGATCTGTGACAGGTATAGCGCTTAACATCTGTCTTTTCAATGTGTTGTCATTTAAACACGTATTTAACCATTATAGTGTTTAAAGAGAATACCTAGATGCAGTTATCGAAGGATTTTTTACGCATGTTAACAGGTGAGTTGTGAGTTTTTCTATTGTTTTTGACTGAAAGTTTTTTTTATGGTTTTGCTCTGTCAGCGACTTTTGTTCCTCTCATCTCAGGTCAACAAAGTAAGTTGTTTTCCTCACTTTAGATCAGTTATTTAATATTTATACGGTGAACTAGATTATTTCTGCGGAGCTGAAGTGAACTAACTAACTGTCAAATTCGTGTTTTGGTCAATTCGCAACAATTTATCACAAAATGAGTCAGAAAAACTCGAGTCATAGTTCCTTTGTTTTTTTTATTTTCGTTCCTCAGTTCAATGTAAACAACATCAGAATTATTTTAGCTACTAATAGGGCAGATTTTTTTTGTTGTTGTTGTTGTTGTTAATTTTTATTCACTTTCAGTTTATGAAAGTTTAATGGTGCATTTAGTACTCGGAAGTTGGGATTTCCTAGTTCCAGTTCGTAAACAATGTGTTGGGAATTTCCTTTAAATTGGTGTTACCTTCGGCTTTTTGATGAAGTCTTCAGTTTTATGTTTTGTTTCCCCTGTTTATTTTTTTTAACACTAAAATGGAAAAAAGTGTTGGCATAAATGTTCCGCATTATTCAGTTATTAACTCTTGGTTTGGTCAGCTGGAGGGATGTTTGCTACTTTCCGGTAGTTATTATGCTACGTAGCTGATTAACAACTTACAGGCTAATTTAATACCTGAACTTTGACCCCAAACTCACCAGGAATTAAAAAAGGAAGATTTCTGGAGGAAGGTCAAACATTTCCTCCATCGATTATATTGTTTAACGGTCCTATCCCCGACTCCAACGTCTTTCTGATTTCTAACCAGATAAAGATTTCAAAGCAATCAACGTGGGTTAGCAGTGCTTGTCAACAATTGATGATGTCATTCAGGACTTATTACTGTAAAATATCATTTCTTATGCTTGGAAATTGAGCTGTTAGCATGTGATGACAGTCATGAGACACTGATACTGCAACATTCTTCAGTCAGATCCATTGGCTGCTACTGGAAATTCTTACTGCCTTCAGCCTCACTATCCACTGCAACTCTCTGAAGATCATCAGATTAGTTATGACTTTGGAATTAATAAAGTACTTTTAAAATTGAATTAATTAGCAAATAGCTGTCACAGGACTGAATGATTAAATTATGCCCAACCGGTACCGAAATTTGGTTTTAGACAGGGAAGACTTAAGATTAAGGTTACCGGTAACAAGGTAAAGTTACACACTGCAAAAACACAAAGTCTTACCAAATATTTTGGGTTTAGTTTCTGGTGCAAACGTCTTAGTACATTAAAATAACACAAACCTAACTTACAAATAACTTTTCAACAAGAAATCTGAGCTTGTTTAAAGTAAATAATTTCTTAGCATTGATTTAAAAAAAAAAAAAACTATTTCTACTGGTGAATTATTCCACTTATTTCATAACCAACTGTAACTGCCGTTACCTTTCTTAATGAAAAGTTACTTGTAAGTTAGTTTTGTCTCATTTCAAGTGTTATTAGATATTAGACTAAAATTACTTGGTAAAATTTAGTTTTTTCAGTGCATTTTGAAAACTGCAAAACATTTCCATCCCATCAGTTGTTTAGTTAAATTCATTGAAGGAGATGGCAGGGAAAGTGAGAACAGATTCCTCTTACCAACATGTTCACGGAGTAGAAGTAGAATATTAGATTTTAGCAGAAGTAGCAGCTGGATCATAGTATGTTTTTTGTTTTTTATAAATAACCTGAGGATCATGGGATGTTTGATTTTTGAAGTTAAAGAACAGTTTGATTGAACTGCAGCCGTCCTGTTCCAGCTGCAGAGATGCCTCACATGTTTCTCTTGTGGCAGAAACTCTCGTGACTGCAGTGTCAGGGATTTTACAGTGGCACATTCCTGCCATCAGCATCTCAACTTCCCCTGTTCCTTAAAGGGCAGTGTTATGTCAAATTTACTTCTTTTAAGCTGCACATATTATAATCTTATTCCATCATCAAATGTTTGTTAATTTGATTCTTTCATGCATATTTGAGAAATCCTTCAGACTAGCCAGCAGCAGTTCAGAAGCAGGAGGAGGGTCTTAACGCTGTCAATCATCCTCATGTACTCACTCCTAAATGTGCTAATGATGAAGAAACAACTTACAGGTAAGCCGTTTATCTGCTGCCATCTGTGGCGACGCTAACTACCTTTGGCATTCACAACAAGCTATGCTAGCTGTAGCATACAAGGTGATTGACAACGCTAAGACCCGCCTCCCTGCTCTGATTGGTTGTTTCTAGTCAGAACTGGGGAGAAGACAGAGGAGTTAAAATTTTTCACAGATTATACATACAATACTGTCACAACACAGTGACAGTTTTTAAAAATATGTTTGTTTTACAAAATTTACATTCTGCAGCGTTCATACAGGAGCGCTGTAGTGATGTCATGAAGGAGCTTCTTAAAGAGACAGAGCCCCAATTTCAAGGCGTTAAATCATGGTTACTTGATTGTGCTAAAAAGTGACACTGTGCCTTGAAATCTAAAAACAAAAAAAGCCGTGTGTCTTTGTTGGTTGTCTTTCTGTTTGGAGATTTCCATTTGTCGTGTTTGGAAATAATAGAATAACTTTTGTTTTGTTCTCACTCTCTTTGGTTTTTTATTCAGATTTTTTTGATGTTTGAAAAATGTGAAATATTTTCTATTTTCTTCCTGTTTTCTCTCAGAGTTTTAGCGAAATATCGGACAGAAACGTGAACATGAAGTCGGACATCACCTATAACCAGGTAACCATTTCTTCATGCTCTACAAGAGCATGAAGAAATGTGTATACATTCAATAAATTAGAAAATTACTGGAAAATCTAATTATTTTATTAACTTTATCACTTATTAAAACATATTAATTTATTACACACAGATTAAAGTTTGACAGCCTTTATTACAGATAATTATGATGATTTTTTACTTTCAGTTAATGAAAACATGACATTTAAAATTGTAATATTGCATCAGGCCATTAAAAATATATATCTTTAAAAACAAATGTAGCTTTGATTAAATGAATTATTTTTAATACTTGCTTAACGGTTGTTATTTTCTAATGGTACTTTTAATCTGACAAACACCAGGACTTATATTTAATTTATTGAATTATTGTAATTCTGTTTCTAGTATATTAACTACATTATACTTTTTAAAACGTATTTTTGATCTAAAATGAATACTAATGAGCTGTTATTGATTAAAGTCTTGATCTGTGTCACTAAATTATTTAAAAGGTTTTAATATGCTAATAATTCTGTGTATTAGAGCATTTTAAACGCCTTAGTTCTTGTTTTTTAAGTGTATTTCAGGTTTCATTGAGAGTCATGAGATCGTTCTGCAAACACAGGAAGTTATTGATTTGATAAATTATGAAGATGTAAAACGCCCGGAAGGTGTTATTCAGTTTCAGTCACATAACTGGTTTCACTTCTCAGAGAGCTAAAGTATCAGCTAACCCCTGTTGTTGATTGTAGTTTCCAGACTGGTCTCAGCAGAGCTGAGTGATAATTGAGTGAATTTGTGTGCAGATGGTGGATCCGGAGAGACGGAGGCAGGAATTCTCCCGCAGAGCGCAGCTGGTGAGTTTCTCCTCGGATTCAGTCCGTTTCTCTGATTCAGGACAGAATAAATAAATAACTGCAGCCGTTTCTCCGTCAGTTCGCCAGGTGGCAGATCACTCTGGCCGCCGTGGCCTGTGTGCTTCTGGCCGCCATGGCGCTCTACAACATCCTGACCCCGAGGGCGGCGGAGTCAGTGACGTTGGCAGGTTCAACATTCCAGCATCCTGCCTCCATCAGCAGCCGCCTTCAGGAGACGGTGGAGTCCTGCTCGGACCCCTGCAAGTAAGCAAAGACGCTAACATTAGCGGTATATCTGTTGATATCAATATCAATAGATAATGCATCTGATAGAATATTTAATATTCAATATATAGGATATTTAACGAACGCTGATCTAGAACCTCATGGCATTCTGGGAAATGTGGGCAGAGGAAAAGCTAGCTAAGCTAAGTTGGTGGAATCAACTAAGCACTTTAGCATTAGCTTCCTCCTGGTGTAGCGCTTTAGTGTTAGCATAGCTAACATTTCAGTTAGAACATCAAATCAGGCCAACATTCCCATTGTCTGTCTTTTAAAATACAAATAAAACACATCGAAGTTTCAGGTTTTAACTTGGCAAAACAGGAAAAAGTTAGTATGAACACTTTAAAAAAAGCTTCATTTATCACTTTTCTACATAATATTAAAGATAAAAGGGAAGAAAAATTTGTAAATTTCCACCAAAGAAAATCAAACATTTTGAGATTAATTTTATGTATTTCCAATACAAAAAAACTTGAATATTCTCTGATTAAATTTGCTATAAAAAAAAAAAAGTCAAGTTTCCAAGTCGAAGGGGTTTTACCTGGAGACTGTGATGGTTTGTAATGTCTGGGACGTTTCCTGTTCCTCTCCCCGTCAGGATCGTCCTGGTGGAGAGCATCCCTGAGGGGATGGAGTTCAACTCCAGCACCAGCAGCCCCTCCATCTTCCAGGCGTGGGTCAGCCTGATGAGCGAGGCGCGCAGCAGCGTCGACATCGCCTCCTTCTATTGGACGCTCACTAACGAGGACACCGGCACCCACGAACCCTCAGCCTCTCAGGTCAGAGCCCGCCCCAGGTCCTCTGCACTGTAAAACATAAAATCCCACACAGGGCTTTATATGGATCCTAGTACAGTGTTTTTCAAAGTGGAGGCCGCCAGGGGGCGCTGTGGCACCTCAGAAAGTTGGATGGAAAAATATTAAATCTGATACATTTTTATCTTAAAATTTTCATCATAATTTTTTATTTTGCTATTACATAATTTTTAAAAGTAAAATACGAGTTAAAATAATTAATTTAAATCTTATTATTGATGCTCATTCTCTGATTGGCTACCAAGCTGCTTTGCTCCTCAAGCTAACATAGCAAGAAAAAGACAAAAAAAAATGTTCAGCTGCAAAAAACCATGAGAACTGTGGGAAAAAATGAAATTTGATCTAAATAATGTAAAAAAAAATTATATTTTCTTATAATAAAAAGAGAAGATTGTGCTGAAAAAAGATATTATCTGATAATGAAATGTTCACCCACAGAACTTATGACCATCTAAAATGAGTCGGTATGAGGTTAGCACTTATGCTAAATTTATGGACTATTTATTGAATAGTGAATAAAAAACATTCAAAATGATGTTTCTTTCCATGGTATCAGAGTTTGTCTTAAGTTAATAATTTCTTAATGGTATATTATTTCACTTAATAAAATATTTTTTCCATGTTATAAGTGAAATAATCTGCCAGTGGAACTAGAACTGGGTTGCTAGGTAACGGGCTTGGCTTGGCTAGGGTTGCTAGGTAACGGGCTGGGCTTGGCTGAGGTTGCTAGGTAACAGCGCAGTGGAATATTCTACAAATGAAACTAGAACCGTTTCATCAATATTAAGGAAATATTGACTTAAAATGAGCTCCTATTTCTCACTGAAGTTATTTTTAAGTTGGTTTTGTCTTATTTCAAGTGAACTAAGATACACTAGAAATTAAACCAAAAATACTTGGTAAGACTTCATGTTTTTGCAGTGTAGTGTGTAATAACGGTTTCTGTTTGCGCAGGGGGAGGAGGTTCTGAAGAGGCTGGCTGAACTCTCCGGGAAGCTTCACGTTCGGATTGCAGTCGATTCGCAGGAGGGAAAACCACAAGCTGACCTCAAACTGCTCAACGATTCAGGTGATTCATTACCTTCACATCAGCAGCTGCAAAACCCTCATAGCTAATGTTTTAATTGAAGTGCAATGTTTTTGGTGCTTCCCCTTTAAGAGATTGAATTCTAGGGAAAAAAAGTGCACAAGCTAATTTATGCAGTCACTTTGTTATACATAAAACATCATCAAAATCAAAGCAGCAAAATCTTTTCTGAATATTTTTCTAAAAACTATCTCAGAGGAATTCCAGATAAGTCTGTAGAAAAACTCATAAAGATGCTCAAATAACTTAAATTTTGTTGATATATAGTTTGATTAAATTGTTATTAATTAATTACAGAACCTGCAACTAACTTAATTAAAATTTTGATCAAGTCCAACCATTAATTAATGCATTCAAGCCATTTAGTGATTTATAAAAACATGCCTTTATACGTTTCTACATTTATAAATCATATGTTTATTCAGAAGTGAACTCTGAGTATCCAGAAATACCTAAAACTTGTAAATATTTAAAATTCCCTCTAAAAAATTAAATTATTAGAGCTGCTTATTTTACTAGTTAAAACATTAAATTTACCTTGAAACGCATTAACACACTCAGTGGAAACCATTTTAGCGCTAAGCGCTACATTTTTCCTCATTTCCTCTCTTGTGCGTTCAGCCAATCAGCACCAAGCGAAACAAATGCCGCTAGCATTTCTCCCATGTGTTTCAGATTCTCAAGCTCCATTTTCTTTTGAATATTTAAAATTTTTCAACAAAAAAATCCAAAATAGGAAAACATTTTGCAATCACTTTCCAGTTTCTCTTGACAGAAAATCAGTTCATAACCGAGGCTCCTCTGAACTTCACATCTGTTTGTGTATCTTATGAATAATTGTCTATAATCTGAACATTAACAAAGAGCGCCTGCTAAAGCCCAGGTGTGTTTCAGGAGCCGACGTCAGGACGGTCAACATGAGGGCGCTCACCACCGGGGTTCTTCACACCAAGTTCTGGGTCGTAGACAAGACGCACATTTACATCGGCAGCGCCAACATGGACTGGAGGTCCCTGACGCAGGTACAGCTGGACTGCTTGAAATGCCTGTGGCCTAGTCAAAACATGTTGATTACGTTTTTCTGCAAATCATTCTTAGTTGATGAGATTTCAGTCTGCTCAGTTCTGCCTTTCTTAAGCTGTTTTAGAGCGAAAATGGCTGCAATCTGATGTGCAGTTATACAACCGTACATCTTTGTAAAAAGCATTAGTAGAGCCTTCTGCACAACCAATAAGAATGCAGCAAGTAGTGGAGTAGAGGTGGGTGGATCGATACAAAATATCAATAATATTGATACCAAGTCCGTATCAATATCAGATCGATGATAGTATCATAAGATTTATACTTTATTTTCTTGAAATTTTATTTTATTGTTGTATTGTTGTTTAAGTGTTCTGTTAAAAATATTTTGCTTTGATTTGCTCTCAAATGATCGATTTTATTTAAAAAATAATGTACGAGCATTTTATAGACGCTTATAAAACTTTATTTAGATTCTGTCCTAGGCTTTAGCAAAATAATTCAAAGGAAAACCCACAGAAATGAGTAAAGGTCTGAAGTTTGATGATACTTAAAAAATAAGTATCGATATTGATATTGGCAATACTGGCCCTGTGTTTACTTGGTATTGGATTTGTACCAAAATATGCAACACTTCACATCTCTAGTTTCTGGTTGTCAACAAAACATATGTATTTACCCAGAATGCCCTGTGCTGTAGCCCACTTCCTGCTTTTGGAGCGGTCTCTGGTTCGCTTGGCGTTCACACATGCATTCAAACCGAACCAGAGTTCACTTCAGCCGAACCGAGACCGGGGTTTGTAGGTGAACCAGAGTTCGCTTTTTGGTTCGATTCAGACCTCCACAACCGAACCGGACTTCCTAGACAAACGGACTGGAGTTGTATTAAAGTGGATTAAACAGGGCTGGTGTGAACGCAGCCTCAGATTGTCATTTGGCTCCACGGTTGTCCAGGTGAAGGAGCTGGGAGCCGTCGTCTACAACTGCAGCTGCCTGGCCTCAGACCTGGAGAAGATCTTTGAAGCTTATTGGTTGGTTGGAGGGAGCGAGTCCATCCCGTCGCCGTGGCCGTCCAGCTTCTCCACCCTGTACAACAAAGACACGCCACTCCAGCTGCTGTTGAACAGCACGCCGTCCAGCGTTTACCTCTCTGTGAGGATTAGCTTTTATTCCAGTAACACCAGACTCCTACTTCCTGCTTCCTGTTTTGCTAACTCTCCTATCCCGTTCAGAGCTCTCCTCTGTCCTTCTGCGCCGCCGGCAGGACTCCGGATCTTCAGTCGCTTCTCAGCGTGATTGACGACGCAGAGGAGTTCATCTACATCGCTGTCATGAACTACCTGCCCACTACGGAGTATACGCACCCGAAAAGGTGAAGCTGAGTGGATGTTACCAACGCTAGCTGTAGCATCATGTGGATTACTGTAGCCTAGAAGAAAGGAAAAAGAAGAAAATACTGAAAAAAATAAGAAATAAAGTAAATAAAAGTCAGAGTATTTAATTTTGATAACTTTTGATCCACCATGTCTTCAGTTTTCAAGCCAAATGATTAAATTCAAAGGCTAAAATCGGCCATAATTTAGTCAGATTATCAGCAGCAAACACAGACTGATGCTGATAGTAATCTGATGATGTGTGAACAGATTTAATATTTAATTATTTATAAAACCGATACTACAGTATAACTAAATAATATGCTCAACATTCCTCATTTTACCACAGTTCAGCTTTATCCTCTTAATATTACAACTTCATTCTGGAAATATGATGACATTATTCTCTTCATTTTAGGACTTTATTCTGTAATATTATGTCTTTATTCTGGTAATTAAAGTTTTTGTTAGCTTGGCTCTAAGATGTTGTCATAATTTTGAAATTATGAATAAATGCAGACTTGTGCTTCTAGTTTTTAAAACTCATTACAGTTGATTATTGTGAAATCTTTCCCTCTCCTTTGTTAACTGCCATGTCACAAAATAGTCGCCTCCGTTTTAGGTTTGATATTTTGCGCCTTGTGCAGGTACTGGGCCGACATCGACACGCAGCTGAGGCGGTCGGCGTACGAGAGGAAGGTCAGAGTTCGCCTGCTGATCAGCTGCTGGCCTCACTCTCCGCCCGTCATGCTGCCCTTCCTGAAGTCTCTGGCTTCGGTTCACGACTACAGAAACAAGCTGGACGTCCAGGTGGTGAGTTGCGCCTCCTCCTGAAAAATGCATCCGCAGTACGCCGGGCCTGTTGCTACGGTAACGAAGCCGGGGTGTTCGGTGTCGGTTTTTCAGAGGCTGTTTACGGTTCCCGCCGACCCGAAGCAGAAAGCGATTCCCTATGCAAGAGTGAACCACAACAAGTACATGGTGACCGACAAAGTGGCCTATATTGGTAAGACCTGCAGTAAATCCATTAACTTAACCTTTGGTTCTGATGATTTAATGATTGGAAAATAAATAAATCAGTTCACTTCCTGGGTTTCCGTAGTTCAGAGTGATGTCAGGGCGGCCATCTTGTTTTACAGCTTCGTTATATTTGGACTTTGAAGATCAACTCTGACATAGTTCTAGCTCCAGGCTACTGTTATTATTTAGTTATGAGAATGAAATCATAATATTACCGTCAGAGGAGCAGAGAAACCAAAAACTGCACTCAAGTTAGAGTAACAACTTCAACATATTTTTACTCAAACAAGTGTAAAAAAATATTTGGTCAAAAGTACTGAGTAAATGATCAAATTATCAATCATTTAATATTTAAAAATTACATCATCAGATGGACCAAAATATAAAGTTAAATGAAAATTTTGGTATTTTGAAGACAAAAATAACAAAAATTTATTAAAGTAACAAAAAATAACAAAATCAGGCAAAATAAAAATTTTCCAAATCAGTTTCTTTCAATAAAAAAACTTATGAAACTTTAGTAAAAACTGCAGGTGTGTGTCTGAGTTTGGTGAAGTTTTGGGTTAAAACATGTTTTGTGGGTAGAAAATCCAGAAATTTTATTCAAGTAAGAGTAGAGATACTTCATAATAAAATTACTCAAAGTACAGCGCAGTAAAAATACTCCTAAAAGTACATTTTTCCCAAAAAGTTACTCAAGTAAATGTAACAGAGTAAACTTAACTAGTTATTACCCAACTCTGTTTACCAGAATAAAGTCGTAGTTATACTAATGTTACAAACAGGTACTGCCCATTGCTTAGCAACCCCAGTGGAACTCCACCACGTTACCTAGCAACCCAGGCCGAGCTTCGGCACATCTGCACAGCTGGTTTTCCTTTACTGTACAATGGCTGCTGGAAAAGACAAGCGTTTTCTTGTTGACTTACCATTTAGAAACCACATTTTGTATTCTTATTGGTTGTGCAGGAGGTTCAACTTCTGCTTTTCAAAGACGTACAACGATTGTATAATTGCAGGCATTTTCTGCAGTAAACGTTGAGTTTCGGTGGTTTGGCCAGCAGCAGTGTACTTGGATTTAAAGTGACAGGACAACCTCAAACAGCTAAAATCTCATTAACTAGGAATGACTGTGGGCAAAAGAAATGTGATGAACATGTTTTGAGTAGACCACAAATCTGCCTGAACCTGTTCAAGAATAATAAGTCACATTTAAAATTCTAACTCAAATTTGGCATGAAAAAAAAGAGATTTTATTTCTCCTAGAGAGATTTCAGCTTCTTAAAGTGGAAAAGAGAGTTAAATGGATTGAAATACTTTTATAAATATGTGTGTTTTGTCCTCAGGGACGTCTAACTGGTCGGGAGACTACTTCCTGAACACGGCCGGGTCGGCGCTGGTCGTGAACCAGACGGACTCGCTGGACCCGACTCTCCAATCCCAGCTGAAGGCCGTCTTTGAGCGGGACTGGCACTCGGCCTACAGCGCCCCCATCAGACACGGTGCAGACCTCAAACACGTCTGCTGATCTCCTTACACCAGAACTCATGTAGCGTTCAGGTTCTCCTGGGCTTTGGACCCGGCTCAACGCTGGTTCTGCTGAGCTGGAAGCACAGAACTATTTTTACTCCTTCAATTACTTTTTCCCCCCACAGTTTGTGGAGGTTTTACACAAACGTCACTGGGATTTTAAGTACATAAGTGTGAAAGGGAAAGAAAAAAATGTTTTTAACTCAGAAAAATCTGAAAAGTGTGGCATGCATTTATCTCAGCGCCACTAAATCGATTATTTGTTGAACACTGCAAAAACACAAAATCCTCCCAAGTACTTTTGAGTTCACTTCAATTAAGACAAAATTAACTTACAAGTAACTTTTCAGCAATATTTATAAACTTATTTTAAGTCAATAACTTCTTAATGATTCCCAGTGCAGTTAGTATTTTTTCATTGATATTAAGGAGTTATTAACCTAAAATACGCTTCAGTATATTCCTGAATAGTTATTTGTAACGTAGTTTGTAGTAAATCAAAAATACCTCAAAACGTTTTGTATTTATGGTACAAATTACATCGGTACACTGCAAAACCACAAAATCTCACCAAGTATTTTTGGTTTAGTTTAATGGGAAAATGTCTTGTCAGTGAAATAATCTACCAAAGAACTGGTAATTTTTCATCAATATTAAGGAATTACTTTCTTAAAACAGGCTCCTATATTTAACTGTAAAGTAAATTTTGTCTTATTTCAAGTGTACTAAGATATTAGCACTAGAAACGACCAAAAACACAGAAGGTTTTGTGTTTTTGCAGTGCAGGAAGTCCATCCTCTCTCCATATTCAGATCATGGATTTAACAAGCTTCTGTTTTTAGATTTTTACTTTCATTATACTTTTATTTTCGTTCCATTTCACAGTTATGCGTTACTTTTAGTTGGTCTGTTACTTGAAACACACTGAAGTTTGTGAACCGCTGACGAAGCATTAAGGCCAAACATTTTCTCCTGTGTCTCTTTTTAAAACTTTTTGTAACTTTTATGGATTCTAGTTACAAAACACTACTTTTTTTTTTTATAACAATACAGAAATGCTCTTACTTTGATTTAATAATGTGGTTCTTTAGCATTTTAAGCTTCACCATCAGTGGGAGTTTTTTTTCAACTCAGGGATTAAAATCTGATTATTTTTGCCTCTATCAACGTGGGAATTTGCGTTTTTATTTCCCAATCTGTTGTAATTTTCCTGTTCTGAGATTTTTAAACTCTCTTTCAAGATCTGATTGCATTTTTTTTCTTTTTACAACTTCATAGTAATTAAATAAATTAAAATTAATCATGTACACAAAAGGTCTTTAATTTCTGGACTAGTTTGAACACCATTACTGTTCGACATCTTTGTTGTAAAGTGATCAAATAATCCCAGGTATAATCTCATGGAATACCTGGGAATATCAATAATTATCTGCAGCAGCTGCCTGTGATCAATAAATCATTTTCAATAAAAGTTATTAAACCATTTTCTGTGTTTTCATTTTTACCTGCGATGTGTGATTTCAGCTAGAAAAAAAAGCTAATGTAGGTCATATGTACGGAGTGCCAATTGTACCATTAGTCAAAAATCAACAGCAATAATTTGGATTATTTAGTCTGACTCAAGAATTGTTTTAAACTCATATTTTCACCATGTTTCCTTTTACACATGTCACAATTTCAAACTAAATATTTAATTAGCTTAAATAATATTTAGTTGAATATTTAAATATTGAACTTCAAGCTAAATCTTTATGACAGGATTCAACAAATGGCAGTTTAGCTACAAGATATTTAGCTTACAAACTAAATATTTAATTAGTGAGTTACATATTTAGCTTCAAGCTACTTGTTTAGTTTGTAAACTGAACATTTAGCTTCCAGCAAATTTTTTGTTTTCAAATTAAATTCTTAGTTGGAAACTAAATATTTAAGATGAAAAAAGTACCTAAATGGCCAAGTAAATATTTAGTTTTGAGCTAAAAAAAAAAAAGACTTTTCAAACTAAATATTTTCACTGCTAAATATTTAGTTTGAAAGTGTGACATATAAATGAATGAAAAACATGGTGAAAATGAAAAAATAAGCCCAAAATTTTTTTTCTTATGACAGGCTAACAAATTTAGCTTGCAAAATTTAGTTTGCAAGCTAAATTCTTAGCTCCAAACTAAATATATAGGATAGGTTTCAGCAAATGGTTAGCAACCTAACTAATTCTGTAGCTTACAAACGATTTAGGTTAATCAAATATGTGGTTTGAAGCAAAATATTTAGCTTGCTATGTAAATATTTAGTTTGTAAGCTAAATATTTAGTTTACTAACTATATATTTGTAAGTTAAATATTTTTGCTTGCAGATATAAATATTTAGCTTGTGAACTAAATATTTAGTTTTCAAGCTAAATCTTCAAACTAAATATTTAATATTGGTTTCATAAATTAACAGTAAAAAAAGTTACTCAAGTAAGGGTAGCTGAGTAAATGTAACTAGCTACTACCCATCTGAATGCATCGGACTGTAGATATGGTTGTACGTATCAGGTTGCAGCGGCTTTTTGTGTGTAGAGTCCCTAAAATAGCGGCTGATCCCGGTGCAGCTGCTGCGGTCGGTCAGACCTTCTGGCTGTTTCTGCCTCCGAACCTCCGTCTGATCCGAGCGGACCCGGAGGAGGAGCGACACGGAGGCGGACATGGCGGTGCACAGCCCGGGACCACCACCGCTCCGCTCCCCCGGGGACCAACTTTCTCCGATTCTGCGATAAAATGAAGTAAAAGTCGCGGAAAACCGATGCTGCTGCGTTTCGGTGCGTAAAACTCTCCGAACTTTGCCGGCAGATTTCCAAAAGAAGGACGGCTTTTCCAAGGAAATTAAGGTAAATTATTACAAACTGCATGAGGTTAACAATAAAAAATAACCTGGAATATAAAAATCTGATGTTTTTAAACCACTTTTAACGCTTTTTGACAAGTTTAGTCAATTAAATGTCTCCGTCCTCGTTTCAGCGGCTGTGTTCAGGTGAACAGCCCGCGGATCCCCCGCCTCTGCTGGGAACACCGTGTTCACGGAGTTCCTCCAACTTCTCCACCAAGAAAAAACACATGAAGGGGTTCATTCATCAGCTTCTGATTAGAAATTAGGTAAATTTTTTTAGCACAATAATCAAACTCCAACAACGGTTTATGTTTTCTTAAGATGATTTACCCAGTCAATAAATTAATTATATATTCAGACAGACCTGAAACACAGCTGTCAACCGTTATTCACTGGAAAACAAAGTCATTTTGGTAAAAAAAAAAAAAAAAAAAAAAAAAAAAAAAAGTTTTTTTGGTTTTTATTTTAAATATTTTAAAAATTTTGAAAAAAAAAAAAATAAACAAACA